CTTAAGGGTAGGGGGCTTACGACAGTGTATCTCTACGTGCAACTTTTTGTTTTGTTTTGTTTTTTAATTAGAAAAGTGAAGAAGTTTTAAGGAAAGAAATTGGGGAAGCAAAAAGACTAGTTTTCTTTTTCTTTTTTTTCTTTGCCTCTTGCACCCCAAATCTTCACATTTCTAGATACTGCTTAGAAAAGCCCATAAGAAAACTGATAAATCCAATCATTCTTTCTACAGTATTGATTATTTACCATGTGTCAGGCACTAATTTAAGTCCGATGGACATAGCAGTGAATAAGCCAGTCAGAAATCCCTGCTCTTAAGCTCACATTGATTAATTTTCAATTGTAACAAGAACAAAAAAAGTCCATTCTCTCTCCCCTACTACAATAAGCATTGCTCCCTCTTCCTTATGAAATAGATGAACTTTTCTTTCAGAGTTTTCAACCTGGAGGTCAACAAATACTTTTGAAGCTCAGCACTGTGCTAGACACCAAACTCAACCCACTGCCATGGAGTCCATTCTGACTCATAGCAAACCTATAGGACAGAGTAGAACTGCCCCATAGCATTTCCAATGCTGTAAATCTTTATGTGACTGCCACATCCCACCACCAAGCGGCTGGTGGGTTCAAACTGCCAACCTTTTGGTTAGCAGCCAGGCACTTTAACCACTGTGCCACTAGGGTTCCTTATGCTAGATACAGTGGAATTAATACCATATAGTCCTTGTCCTCTTGGTAAGACAGAGCTCATAATGGGAAAACAATCAGAGAATGTTTAAGGATCAAATTGAGAACCTGATTATAATTTGTGAGAGGGTGAAAAGAAGAAACTGTCCAGTGAGAAGATTCTGGATGAGGAGGCTTTGAAAAAGCAGACAAACTTGAGTGGTGTGAAGGTAAGGGTAGGATTCGGTTGGGAGGGAAGAAGGGAGGAGAACATAGGTGTTGGCTGAATGAATGAACATATAGGATGGGTGTGCAGCATGCTTTAACATTTGCAGTAGTTGTGCTGCCAAATGTGGTGAGATTCTGGGTTCTCCAAAGCTGGTTTGTAGACAGATACCTGAGCAAGATTCGCCCTGAGACCACTCAGTTAGAGTCTGTGGCTCTTGCGGTGTGGGTGGGGGTGTGTGGGGTGGGGTGATGGAGGTTGGGGGGAAGTGCTGCGTTGTTACAGTTGCCACTGATCAAAGGGCAGATGGAAGAACACCAAAGCACAAGGTAGCTGTTTGATGTGGCTGTGAGCAGATAGGGATGAAACTGCATCCTCCGCTCAAATAAAGTCTATTAGCCATGGTGACTTTTGATCCCCTACTGATCTAGGGGATGTCAAATTGACAGCCCCCTAGTTGAAAGAAGTGGCTTTGCATTGTTCATGCTCCAAGGGGTCTGTTCATTCTCCAGCCCCCCCC